TTTTTTTTTTTTTTTTTAATAGAAACGAGGTCTCACTTATGTTGCCCAGGCTGGTCTCAGACTCCTGGCCTCAAGTGATCCTCCAGCCTCCACCTCCCAAACTGCTGGAATCACAAGCATGAACCACCACATGCTCAGCCTTTTGTAAGTTTTTGCCCAGATATCATTCTCCCATCAAGGCCTACTGTGATTGCGCTATGGAATTACTGCTCATTGCTCTCTCAAGCCCTCCCAACACACACCCAGAATCCTCAATCCTCCTTACACAATCTCCTTTTTTCTTTAATCCATAGCATTTATCATCTTTCAAAACCCATGAAAGTTACTTAATATGTTTCTTGTCTGTCTGTACAACACCCTGAACTATTAATTCTGAGAGCAAAATTTTTTTAACCTATTTTGTTCTCTGATGTTTCCCAAGTGCCTAGAAATATGTCTGATGCAAAGAAGAAACTCAATAAGTATATGTTGAATTAATGAAAGAATGAACGAATAATTTTACTATATTTCTTTTGGGGGTTGCTTCTTTTTTTTTTGAGTTGAAGTCTCACTCTGCCGCCCAGACTGGAGTGCAGTGGCCGCTCCCGGCCACCGCAGCCTCGACCTGCTGGGCTCCGGCGATCCTTCCGCCTCAGCCTTCCGAGTAGCCCGAATTACAGGCATGCGCTACCACACCCAGCTGATTTTTTGATTTATTGTAGAGATGAGGTCTCGCCTGCCCAGACGGGTCTCGAACCCGCGGGCTCAGGCAATCCACTCACCTCAGCCTCCCAAAGGCACGGGATTACAGGCTGAGCCACCGAGCCCAGCTTGGGGGGGTTGTTTCTTATGAGTGACTTTACAGGAAAAATAAATCTGAATGCTGCAATGCAGACGTGCCCTTCTTGTTTATCTCTAGGAAATTTTGATGTGGTTTGTATGACAACCGATCAATATCTAAAAGGCATGAAACATAAATACCGAGTGAGGCAGTGTTCAAAGAAGCCAAACCCTGATCAAACAAAGTACCAAGAGGAGAAAATTATTTACATCGCAGCTGTGGAAGTTGAATGGGATTATTGTCCTAGCAGGAAGTGGATGGATGAACTGCACCACTTACAAAGAGAGAGGTACCTACCTTGAGAGCTTGTCTCTGACGGGAAGGGATCATGCTCAGTCTTCCTCCTTTGCCTTTTAGTCTCGTGTGTGTGTGTGTGTGTATGTGTGTGTGTGTGTGTGTGTGTGTGCGTGTGATATATTTATTTGTGTTTGATATGGTGTGTGTATGTGAGATGGGTATGTGGGTGTGGTATGTGGGTGTTCAAGATATTCTCAATTATAAGTCGTTTCGAAATGTGCGTGTGACATTCAATTGCAAAGGACTTCAAATCTTTCTAAATGTCTACTTGACTTACTTCTGGGCGTTGTTTCTTACTGCCTCTCTCTTCACTTCTAGTTGTCTTCCTGTGTGTGTGTTACCATCTGATCCGACCACAGAGCATCATTTTGGCTACATGCAACATCTGGAATCAGTCAGATTTTTTAAAAAGATCTTCATTTGTTTCTATTTCCATCCTTCCAGGAACTTAAAATTAAACACACTGATTTCTGTAAAATTTTATTTCTTTCTCTAGTTTTCTCTCTATTTATTCATTTATCAAAACTAAAATGTTATCCCAAAAACATGTTTTAAAATATCTTGCTAGAATTAATACATATATATTAGGATTAATTTTTTTTAAAGATGACTTATTTTCTTAGGTAAAGCAACCTCTAGATATAAGAAGTTCTTCCATATGAGTTATTTGTCTAATTTAATGATTAGATTAAATAATTTGCTTTTTTGTTTTTATTTTCTTAAAGACAAGAAAGCATATACGTGAATAGAAATGCACCATTTCTTGGGTCTAAATACAAGAAAGTTGTGTATCGTCAATATGATGATATCACATTCACAAATCAAACAGAAAGAAATGAAGATGAAAAACATCTGGATTTACTAGGTACTGATATACATAAGATTGGTTTTCGGGTTTTTCCTCTTGTCCTCAATCAGTAGAAATTGTGGACATTATCAGACTCTCCTCTGACAGAGGAAAGTGTCTACAATTCAAACTCTACTTTGTTTGCTGATAGTCATTTTTCCTGGAAAAAGAAAATGGACTCAAGTATTGTTTCCTAAAAAGCAGAGACTATAGTAAATGAATGTGCTCAGTTTTAGATTACCATTCCTCTTGTCCTCAGAATTCAAGAATTCTAGATCTAGAAGGGACTTTAAAAGTAGCATGTAGGGATAATTTCAATAAAATTAAAAGAAATTCCAGGGAACCCTCATATAGTCAGGAGAAAAACTTCTTTTTTTAAATGTAATTGTAAGCTGGGCTTGGTGGCTCAGCCTGTAATCCCGTGCCTTGGGAGGCTGAGGTGAGCGGATTGCCTGAACCTGCGGGTTCGAGACCCGCCTGGGCAACTTGGCAAGACCTCATCTCTACAATAAATCAAAAAATTAGCCGGGTGTGGTAGCGCGTGCCTGTAGTTCCAGCTACTTGGAAGGCTGAGGCGGAAGGATCACCGGAGCCCAGCAGGTAGAGGCTGCTGTGGCCGGGAGCGGCCACTGCACTCCAGTCTGAGTGACAGAGACTCCAACACACACACACAAAAAAAAACACAAAAAAATCAAATAAATAAATGTAATTGTAGTGGGGTATGTTGGCTTACACCAGTAATCTCAGCACTTTAAAAGGCCACGGTGGGAGGATCGCTTGAGCCCAGGAGTTCAAGACCAACTGGGCAGCATGGTGAGACCCTGTCTCTGCCAAAAACAAAAAAACGAAAAATTAGCTGGGCGTGGTGGCACATGCCTGTAGTCCCAGGTACTTGGGGAAGCTGAAGTGGAAGGATCATCCAAGTCCAAAAGTTTGAGACTGCAGTGAGCTATGATCTAACCTGGGCAACAGAGTGAGACCTCAATTCAAAACAAACAAACAAACAAAAAACCAAAGTAAAATAAAAAAACAAAAAAGAAGAGGAGGAGGAGGAAGTATCTTCCTGCATCTTTTGTCGAAGAGCAAAGAAATATACATCCCTTTCTTCCTCCCTTAACAGATTAGCTAGGAAACCCATGAGTCACCCTAGGCACCCACATGTGACATTTCCATATGCTCAACACAGGTTTGAGTCCTGATATCTATGTGTCTGTCAGAGGTCATCTGCTGGTGTGAGACCCTGAGAAGATAGATTTACATTCTGATGAGAGAAACTTGTGCATGTCTTGGCTTCTCACCGACATCTGGAGCCTGTCCTTTTGTGAGCCCCAGAGGGAGGTTGTCCAGTTCCCACTGCCTTTGAATGGGCTTCTGTCTTTAGGATGTAGGATGCTGCTTTCTCAAGGATTCTGGCTGGATGCGTGAAGATAAACAACACAACACAACCCTCTAGATTCTATTATTATTTATGCAAAATGGAAACACTGTATAAAAAAGAAAAAACAAGCGAATTGTTTGCAAAGGTGAAACTGTCAAAGGACAAAGAGGCCCTGTCTTTAGCATCTAGCATCTACCAGGCAACCTCAGGACTCTGATCTGATTAATTACAGTGCAGGATTGGGGAGAAGAATTCCTGCTGTTTATTTCTGATCAAAACCATATGCTTCAAAATTTTTAGAGCCAATAATTCAATCTGCTTCCAAATAGAAAGAATATTTAAAATAAGTTTTATACCTGCAGTTCTTGGTTTCGATGGAAGAGAGAGAGTAAAATGAAGGGGTCATCAGTCAGTAGAAGAGAGGATAATACTGGGTCAATATGCAGTCCTTGCAACATCTCATAGTCCTCCACTAGAGTGAAAAGGCAGGACAGTAAAAGATGAGGTTGATCAAGAAAGAAAAGAAATAGCCGGGCTCGGTGGCTCAGCCTGTAATCCTGTGCCTTTGGGAGGCTGAGGTGAGTGGATTGCCTGAGCCCGCGAGTTCGAGACCCGCCTGGGCAGCGAGACCTCATCTCTACAATAAATCAAAAAATCAGCCGGGCGTGGTAGCACGCGCCTGTAGTTTCAGCTACTTGAAAGGCTGTGGCGGAAGGATCGCCGGAGCCCAGCAGGTCAAGGCTGTGGTGGCTGGGAGCGGCCACTGCACTCCAGTCTGGGCGCCAGAGTGAGACTCCAACTCAAAAAAAAGAAAGAAAAAAGAAAAGAAAAAGGGGTTTCTTTCTTTCTTTCTTTTGAGTCGTGGTCTCATTCTGTCACTGATTTTTTTTTTTTTTGTAGAGATAAGGTCTTACTACATTGCCCAGACTGGTCTTGAACTCCTGGACTTAAGCGATCCTCCCACCTTGGCCTCCCAGAGTGCTGGGATTGCAGGCATGAGCCATTGCACCCAGTCAAGAGTTTCATTTCTAAATTGTATCTTTTTCTAGACATTAACTGATGCTCATTAAAGTATGTTTTCTAACAAAAGGACTTATAAAAATTCTAGATAATTTTTTAGTCAAAATCATGTTTCATAAATCATGTTTCATAAACCATGATCTACATGTTAATTTTTTTTTTCCTTTTGGCTGCATGTTAAGTAAAAGGATAAGAATAAGTCACTGAATAAATACTTAAGAGGACAGATGGCTCCCAATTTAAAATAAATAACAATGACTCATATGCTTTCCTTTTCATATTCCCTAGGGCCATTAATAATGCTCAAGCCTGGTCAAATACTCCAAGTCATCTTTAAAAATAATGCTTCAAGACCATATTCTATTCATGCTCATGGAATGAAAACAAACTATTCTACTGTTGTTCCAACTCAGCCAGGTAAGTACTTGGAGAGTGAAAAATCCCTAGAGTTTTTATGCAGGACTATGGGAGCTAATGTTTTCTTAAACATTGGGTGCAGTCCCAGATGAGAGAGACCAGCAGACTAACAAGAGAGGCCTGGTGGAAGGGTTTGGGAGGGGAGTTCCTTCTGTAAAGCACATTTGCTTTCAGTGTGGGGCACCCTGGGCAAAACTGTGAAATAAGAGTATGGTCTTCAAGTTTGCTTCCCCGGGATAACTTTCTCCTCCAGGGTCACCCCCTTCTCCTCCCTCTGCACCTGTCCAGCTGCCAGGTATTCTTTTTTTTTTTTCTTTTGAGTCGAGGTCTCCCTCTGCCACCCAGGCTGGAGTGCAGTGGCATGATCACAGTTCACTGCAGCCTTGAACTCCCAGACTAAAGTGACCTTCCCACCTTAGCCTCCCAAAGTGCTGGGGTTACAGGTATGAGCCACTGTGCCCAGGGATTCTTATACTATGTTCAATCTTTCCAACTCAAGTGCTGACGAAGGAGTTGAATATTGAAGTAGGGTCCGAGGGCTTAAATCACAGACACCGACACAAAGTTATAAGTAACAAAGGAGATGTTTATTAGCCAGATACGGCCATGGCCAGATGACCACTTGCTGGATAATGAATTCCAAAGCAGGGCCCCTTCTGTAGCAAAGAATTGTCTTAAATAGCCCTTAACCGCATTCTGAAGGCCTGGGCTACGTGCATTGGGGACTTTCTTTGATCAACATTTCCTATCTCCTGCTGGCGCAGGCAAGTGAGCAAGTTCACAGAAGCAGATGTGGCTGGTTATGCTTGCATAAGCAGATTAGCTCTCCCAGTTAATTAACACAACAGAGGAGAAGTCTCCAGGAAGGGAGCTATGGCTGCCCTAGGGGTCAGGGACATTCTAGAAGCCCAGAAGTAGATGTTCCTTTTTTCAGTATAATATGCAGTGTGTGGGGGAGGGGACAGGGTAGGTTTAGGCAATGATGAACCCCATGTGCTAATATTCTGTGACATCTATACAGCATGCCATTTAGCATACTCAACTTGGAAGAAACTTAATGCTTTTAGTAAAAACGCAAACTCTGAGATGAAGGCATGTGTGCAGGTAGTGCTCTTGGGATGAACTACTATAGAAAGAAGAAGTAGGATTGGGGAGTGAGGCTGAGCTGCAATGCTACCTCAGCAGATGTCACAGCTAACTCCGTGAGAAGTCCTAAAGTTAGGGGGACCCTCAGCTGTCCTAAGCTGGAGTGAGAGCTGGGTCTGTATGTCTCTGTACCAGCTCATGAATGCAGGCTTGAGCAAGGTGGCTCTCTTGAGCCAACACCATCTCAAAAGGAAGCTGACACCTGCTGGAGCAAGAGTCCTTCGCTCTTGAGGGGAGATTTGAGCCGGGCATCAGAACATCCACCATAGTTGCCCACCAAGACAAGTCGTTTTGGAAATTAAGAGTATTCATGAAAGCCAAATTCAGAAAGGAAAGATTTGTGAAGCAGAGGGACTGGAGATAGCCTTTGATGGCGGGTGAAATAGTCCCTTTTAAAATTTTTTTAGGGCCAGGCTCGGTGACTCAGCCTGTAATCCCAGCAGTATGGGAGGCCGAGGTGAGTGGATTGCCTGAGCCCGCGGGTTTGAGACCCTCCTGGGCAACTTGGCGAAACCTCATCTCTACAATAAATCAAAAATTAGCCGGGCGTGTAGCACGCGCCTGTAGTTCCACCTACTTGGAAGGCCGAGGCGGAAGGATCGCCGGAGCCCAGCAGGTCGAGGCTGCAGTGGCCAGGAGTGGCCACTGCGCTCCAGTCTGAGTGACAGAGTGAGACTCCAACTAAAAAAAAAAAAAAATTTTTTTTTTAATTTTTAATATTTTGTAGAGATGAAGTCTCATTATGTTGCCTATGCTGGTCTCGGATTCCTAGACTCAAATAGTCCTCCCACCTCGGCCTCCTGACGTGTTGAAATTACAGGAGTGAGCCAGCACATCTGCCTCTCCTCCCCCCCCCCTTTTTTTTGAGTCAGAGTCTCACTCTGTCACCCGGACTGGAGTCAGTGACACGCTCCCGGCCACTGCAGCCTCAACCTGCTGAGCTCTGGCGATCCTTCTGCCTCAGCCTTCCAAGTAGCTGGAAATACGGGCACACACTACCATGCCTGCCCAGCTTATTTTTTGATTTATTGTAGAGACGAGGTTGCGCCAAGTTGCCCAGGTTGGTTTCGAACCCCTGGGTTCAGGCAATCCTCTCGCCTCAGCCTTCCAGAGTGCTGAGATTACAGGCTGAGCCACCGCACCCGGCCCTCTTTTGTTTTTAAAAGCAGACAGTCCTATAGTGGTGCCAACATGAATCTCCTCCCGAGGAAGTTGGCATATCAGCCCTCTGTACTGATTAGTCAGGACAGGATCAGATTACATACATTCCACAAACACTGAGTACTGCACCTACTATATGCCAGGCCCTGTGTGGTGTGCTGGAAAGTGAGAGTACTAGGTAGATTGCTAAAGATTTGGAAGCAGCCGTGGGCCTGGTTAGTGGAGGGGGAAGACCATATCACAGGAGCTTGGGGAAATGAACTCAACCCTCTGGAAGTGGGAGATATAGGATTATGGGGAGGCAGAGGACCAAAAGAACGTTACTACAAGAGTCTAGAATTAAAATTCAATAGGACTAATAAAACAGTGTTGGAGGCAGGAAGAAGTTGCATGTGAGCTGCAAATCAGAAGTTCAGACCTGGGATTCAAGGCTTTGTCACATTGACTAATTACCACATTGACTAAGGTCACAGAGCAAGAAGAAGTGAAACCAGAAGTGTAAGCTAGGTCTCTGCTGCTGAATATTTTTATAGCTGTGGTGTTTGCTCATTATCTGGTACTCCATAAGAAGTTTGATTTAGGCCAGGCACGGTGGCTCATGTCTGTAATCTCAGCACTTTGGAAGGCCAAGGCAAGGACTGCTTGAGCCCAGGAGTTCGAGATCAGCCTAGGCAACATAACAAGACCTTGTCTCTACAAAAGTATTTTTAAAAATAGCTGGGCGTGGTGGCATGAGCCTGTAGTCCCAGCTAGTCGGGAGGCCGAGGTGGAATGATCACCTGAGCCCAGAAGGATGAGGCTGCAGTGAGCCGTGATTGTGCCACTGCACTCCAGCCTGGGAAGCAGAGTAAGATTCTGACTCAAAAAAAAATCTGATTTAAAGGGCTCTGTTTAAACACACTTTATTTGCCTATTTCAGGAGATATTCAAAGATATACCTGGCAGATTCCTTATAGAACTGGGCCTGCCTCACAGAACTTTGAGTGCATACCTTGGTTTTACTATTCGACTGTGGATGTGGTTAAGGTAAGCTTCAGCTCATATCAAAATTTTTATCCTATCTTCTCCTAGAAATTATAATGGAGGGAAGAAGGAATTTATTATTGTGTTTTAAAAATCTTAGTTATGTGTATACTTTCTATTAAGTAATCTAACTATTGCTCAGCTTTTATTCTTACGTAGGTCTGCATTTTTCAAGCTCAAAATAAATTATTACATGATGATTACTTAGATTTATGATACTTTACAAAATCTTACTGTGAATTAAAAAATATATTTAAGTATGCAATAATTTACTGTACTTTGTTCCACTGAATATAATTTGGATTACAGAAAAGACAGTCCCCAACCTTTCTGGCATCAGACTAGTTTCGAGGAAGAGAGTTTTTCCATGGACAGTGGTAGGAGAAAGGGCATGGTTTCAACTGTACTTTGTTCTACTGAGTAGAATTTGGATTACAGAAAAGACAGTCCCCAACCTTTTTGGCATCAGAGACAAGTTTCGAGGAAGAGAGTTTTTCCATGGACAGTGGTGGGAGAAAGGGCATGGTTTCAGGATGATTCAAGCACATTATAGTTATTATGTACTTTATTTCTATTATTATTACATTGTAATATATAATGAAATAACTATGCAAGTCACCATAAAGCAGAATCAGTGGGAGCCCTGGACTTGTTTTTCTGCAACTAGATGGTCCTATCTGGGGCTGATCGGTGACTATGACACTCAAAGTGTGCTGCTTATGTCCAGTCTACTCCGTGATCTCATTTTGTTTGCTGTCACTGCAGAAAACCCTGCTTCGCCGGGCTCGGTGGCTCAGCCTGTAATCCCGCACCTTTGGGAGGCTGAGGTGAGTGGATTGCCTGAGCCCGCGGGTTCGAGACCCGCCTGGGCAGCGAGACCTCATCTCTACAATAAATCAAAAAATCAGCCGGGCGTGGTAGTGCATGCCTGTAATTCCGGCTACTTGGAAGGCTGAGGCGGAAGGATCACCAGAGCCCAGCAGGTTGAGGCTGCGGTGGCCGGGAGCGGCCACTGCACTCCAGTCTGGGTGACAGTGAGACTCCAACTCAAGAAAAAAGGAAAAAAGAAAAAAGAAAACCCTGCTTCACAAAGACAGGATGTTGGAAATGGAAGCAGCCTTTTCGGTGCTGATCTGACAAGAGGCAGAGCTCAGGCAGTACTACAAGCGATGGGGAGAGGTTGTTTCTACAGATGAGCCTTTCACTTGCTCTCTGCTCACCTCCTGCCACACACCTGGTACCTAACAGGCCAAGGACTAGTACCAGTCTGTGGCCTGGGGGTTGGGAACCCCTGCTCTAAGGAGTTTAAAAATTACATGATTTGCGCACAGTGTTTCACGTCTGTAATCCCAGCACTTTGGAGGCTGAGGCAGGAGGATCGCTTAAGGACAGGCAATTGAGATCAGCCTTGGCAACACAGTGAGACCTCATCTCTAGAAAAAAGTTTAAAAATCAGCTGAGCTTGATAGCGCGCACCTGTAGTCCCAGCTACTTGGAAGACTGAGTTGGAAGGATTGCCTGAGCCCAGGAGGCTGAGGTTGCAGTGAACCATGATCATGCCACTGCACTCCAGCCTGTGCAGTGAGACCCCAACTCAAAAAATAAAAAAAACCCCAAAACTCCAAAAACCATGATTAATGAGAAATATACACATATTATTTGTGTGTGTGTGTGTGTGTGTGTGTGTGTGTGTGTTTGGTGTGTGTGTGTGTAGATGATAGATAGATGATAGACATTTAAAACCCTCAACTTTAGAGTTCAAGTTTACTTGCACTCAAAAAAGAAATAAAATGCAACACAAGTCCTCTCTTTGAACTCTTACCTCAGCCCACTCTCTGCCTGGAACAAGAATCTAAACAGAGGTTAAATCCAAAAACAAAATTAAGATAAACAAAGCAAGGATCCCAACTAAATGCTGCTAGGGACAAAGGCACGGAGGTGAAGGGTCTGAGCCCTTTAGACTTCCCTGCCAACCAACTCCAATGCCAGAAAACTCTCATTAAAGCCACAGCTCTGTTTTTATAATTAAAACTTCAAAACTGGAGCTAAATCCACTGAAGAATGTATCTAAAAACCCCTTTCAGAAGTTCGTTGTTCTCTTGGGACTTCAACTCTAATGAGTGGGGTTGAAATTTTCATCAAAGATTGAGCATGCCAAACATTTCATTCTTCACTCTCACACTGAGAACCCTAGTGATTAAAAACTCAAGATTTAGCTGGGTGGGTTGACTCACACCTGTAATCCCAGTACTTTAGGAGGTCAAGGTGGGAGGATTGCTTGAGCCCAGGAGATTGAGCCTGCAGTGAGCTGTTACTGTAACACTAGTGACAGAGTGAGATCCCGAATCCAAAAACAAAAATTTCTATTTTATCTTGATGATCAGGAGGAAAAAAGTTAAAATAAAAACAATATATTTATTTTAACTTGGGATCTGACCCAATTAAAACTAATCCTTGATTTTACCTCTTTTGTTTGGAGGAAATTTTTAGCTGTGGCCACAGTTAATAATCTTGCTTTGCCTCCTCAGGATCTTAACAGTGGACTTGTAGGCCCTCTAGTCGTATGTCTCGAAGGCACAAAACCCAGCATAGTTCACCGTGTTCTTCACTTCATGAATTTTGATGAGAACGAATCCTGGTACTTTGAAGACAATATCAAAGCCCTTTCTCCAAACCTGACAGAACGAGATAGGAAAAATGCTACTTTTATCCTTAGCAACCAAATGCATGGTAATGTTCACACACTGACTCACCAACTGTAGCCCACAGGTTGCTCCGAGCAAATGAAACAGATAGAGATTCACATTTGCCCAGCTTGGCACAGTTTATAGAATACAATTCCACAGAGCTGTGGTCTAGATCACGTAGGCCAGGGGGCAGCAAGTTGTTCTGTAAGGAACCACATAGTACAGAATTTAGGCTTGCAGCACTGTGCTCTAAATTCTTATTTGCAAGGTTTAGAAAGGTTTCGGGATAGGGAGGATACATTTGAGTTGAGTATTTAGGGCTGCATAGGAATTTGTCCAGCAGGAAAGAGGGGAAATGGCATGCCAGGTAGATAGAAGAATATGAGTTAAGTCACACAGCATTTGGGAAGAAAGAGTCCACAAAACTGTGGAAGACTTCAGATACACTGTTAAGAATTTAGACTTGATCTAAACCAGGGTTTCTCAACCTCTTGACATTTCAGGCCAGCTAACTCTTTGGTGTGAGGGGGTGGTCCCTTGTATTATAGATGTTTAGTAGCATCCATATCCTATACTCACTAGATGCCAGTAGCAACTCCTCACAAGTTATGACAACCCAAAATATCTCTAGACATTGCCAAATGTCTCCTGGGGGACAAAATCCCCTCCTGTGAAGAAGCATTGTGCCAAAGGCACCAAGCATGCTGAACCAGGGCAGGGCAGGGATAGATGTGTCCTTTAGGAACAACTCTGGCAATCATCAAGGCACTTGTACCCCAAATGTGGTCCATGGACCAGCAGCTTCAGCATTATTTGGGAGCTTGTCAGAAATACAAGCTCCCAGCTGGGTTCGGTGGCTAAACCTGTAATCCCGCGCCTGTAGGAGGCTGAGGTGAGTGGATTGCCTGAGCCCGCGGGTTCGAGACCCGCCTGGGCAGCGAGACCTCATCTCTACAATAAATCAAAAAATCAGCCG